TTTTTAATTATAATTATATAATTATATTTATTATTTAATATGTTTTACCTTAAATATTATGTTGTAGTTATTTTGAATCATTTTGTTTCACTTGATTTTATGGTTTTTAACTTATATATGTTATGACTTGCTTTGAATATGACTTGTGATATAAAAAATATATTTTTTATTAAATATTTTTGGTATTTTTATTTAATTTTTTTAAATAATTATGACATCGTCCGGTTCTTTATATCGGTCGAACCGATTCGACCGATTAAACCAGTGAACCGATAGCATGACCGGTTCGCTAACCGGTCCGATTCTGAAAACCATGGACACAAGTCACCAAACCTCACTTTTAATGTCAAAACTAAATCGTTTTAAAATATAAATTTTGTAATTTAATTGAAGAAGGAACACAAATTAAAATCAATTGTATAATTAAAAAATTAAATGTATAAAAAGTTGGAAATATTTATTTATTTCTACATTAAAAAAGATATAATTGTTTTTAATAAATTTAAATGTATATAAGATAATATATGTCTAAAGACAAATAATTATTTAATAAAAAACATTTATATTCTTATATATATATATATATATATATATATATATGATGTTCGAATCTGAGACCTCAAAAGATAATAATAAACCTCTTAACCAATAAATTCGTTTAGTTAGTAAAAAAAATGTAATTTTAAATTGAGAAAATAACCTCAGTGACCAAAAATCCCAGATAATATACGATTTTGACAAACTTTTTTTGGATTTGCGAAAATGACCAATAAAATCGCAATGCGATCTCTAATTCACATTGCGATCTCCACTATCGCAAATTCGCGTTGCATTTCGCGTTGCGATAGTTGAAAATCGCGTTGCGATTTTCCAAATTCGTTGCGATAGTCTACAGTTATCGTTGCGATTTTCCAAATTCGTTACAAAAATTCGTTGTGATAGTTAAAAAAAAAAGATTTTGTTTCTTAAGCATTTTCTCTATAAAGATAGTATCTGCGCGGACGTGTTGAAGACACGTATTACCACGACCACGACCACGACCACGACCTGACCCGAGACTGACGGCGGCGGCGGCGCGCGAGAGTCCCCATTGTTCTCAATCACTCAACAAGGAAGTGGGAAAGCCAAGCCTTAAATACCATTCTCAATAGTGTTTCCAATACTATGTGGGATTGAGCATTACCAACACTTGTTTCCAATACAATGTGATTATTCAGGAAACAATTAACAATCATGCACCTTAAAACAACTGAATCAGCAATCAATTGCATTAGTATTATACGATTAAATATGTCATAATTAAAAGTCAATCTACAATCAATCACGATTATTGCAATTTTAAGCAAAACATTCAAAAATAATATCACTATTTAAGGCTCAATCCCTTATAGTATTGGGAATAAGTGTTGGTAATGCTCAAATCCCACATAGTATTAGAAACATTATTGAGAATGGTATTTAAGACTTGGCTTTCCCACTTCCTTGTTGAGTGATAGAGAACAAGGGAAACTCTCGCGCGCCGCCGCCGCCGTCCGTCTCGTCTCGTCTCGGGTCGGGTCGTGGTCGTGGTAATATGTGTCTTCGACACGTCCGCGCGGATACTATCTTTTTAGAGAAAATTCTTAAGAAACAAATTTTTTTTAACTATCGCAACGAATTTGGAAAATCGCAACGACATTATAGACTATCGCAACGCGAAATGGAAAATCGCAACGCGAAATGCAAAGCGAATTTGCGATAGTGGAGATCGCAATGCGAATTAGAGATCGCATTGCGATTTTATTGGTCATTTTCGCAAATCCAAAAAAAATTGGTCAAAATCGTATATTATCTGAGATTTTTGATCACTAAAATTATTTTCTCTTTTAAATATTATCATACGTGAGAAATATATGGGGATTTGCCATATCCACCGCGTTTTAAAGACTGGGGTTAAGCTGTTTTTTCCATATAAAAATTTCGAGAAAAAATAGAATTAAAAAACGAACGTCACGTGCATTAATTATAAGAAAATTGAATTTTTAGATTTAATTAATAAATACAAGTCCGTCTCCCAGTCCATATATAAAAGTACTCTAGTCTCCGCCACCATAATTCCCTGCGAACCCTGCTTTTGTTGCTCAATTCTTTTCTTTCTCCCAAAGAAAAAAAAACCCTACGATTTCTTCAAAAACCGCAAACTGAGAAATCAGAGTTCTTTGGGTTAAAGTTTGGAGATTCAAATGGAATGGGTTCGCGGGGATGCTATTGGACATGGAAGTTTCGGCACTGTCAATTTGGTCGTACCAAGAGAAGGTTTCCCAAGTTCTCCATTAATGGCGGTCAAGTCATGTGATATAATTCACTCTGTTTCTCTCAAGAACGAGAAGGAAGTGCTTGAAAAACTCGGGTTTTGCCCGCAAATCATCCGTTGTTTCGGCGACGATTATACCGTCGAGAATGGAGAGAAGTTATATAATATGTTCTTGGAGTACTCTAACAGAGGAAGCTTGGCCGACCAGGTGAAGAAAATTGGCGGGAACATTCTGGAATCCGATGTTAGACGATACGTTAGGTCGATACTTAAAGGGCTGAGTTTCGTTCATGCCAGAGGGTTTGTTCACTGTGATATTAAGCTTCAAAATATTCTCTTGTTTGGTAATGGCGATGTGAAGATAGCTGATTTTGGTTTGGCGAAGAGAAACGGGGTAGAAAAACAGAAGATGGAGATCAGGGGAACCCCATTGAATATCGCGCCGGAGTCTGTTAACGGGTGCGGTTATGATTCGCCTGTTGATATATGGGCCCTTGGATGCGCCATTGTCGAGATGTTTACCGGGAAACCGGCATGGAATTTCAAACCAGGGACGAACGTGGCGGCTTTGTTGATTCAAATTGGGACTAGCAATGAATTACCGGGGATTCCTGAAGATTTATCCGACGAAGGAAAAGATTTTATCGGAAAGTGCTTCGTTAAGGACCCGAAGAAGAGATGGACGGCCGAGATGCTTCTCGATCATCCTTTCATGACCGACGATGAAGAGAGAATCGCAATGGATCTTATTCAAGAAGAAGAAGAATCAACGTCTCAAAATTGTTATTTCGAAGAATTTTCAGAGTCACCGAGATGTCATTTCGATTTCCCAGGCTGGGTTTCAACACAATCAACGGCTTCTCCTTCTTCTCCTCAACCAATTTTACTGGAAAATTCAAGTATCGGGTCTTCGAGCCACGTTGCATCACCTTGGGATCGGATTCATCGATTGGCTTGTGACGAGGCACCAAATTGGTCAGATTCGGAAGGCTGGATCACCGTGAAATAATTAATTTTGACGGCAAGCGGTGATGATTTTTATTGTTAATGGTTAGACGAAAAACACAGATTTGACTGACATTTGATTTTTTGGTGATTCAAGAGTTGTGATTGGCTGGCTATTCATTGGCCATAGATTGTGTAGACCAATCTTTATTCAAACCTTTTTAATGAAATTTACAAACCCTGTGGGAAAATTGTTCATCTAACTTTGAGGGTTTAGACGTTTTCAGTCTATCACCAATCCTTGTGTTTTGAAATTCCAACACTCGACTTCAAAAGTGCTTGGTTTTGATGAAGATTATTATTTCTAAATATAAACGGTTTAAATTAAAGTGTATATTATTAAAAATAGATTGACTTATATAATTATAATTTGATGAATATTTGCATTGTAAACTGGATTCAGATGTGAAAACATTGAAACTTGTGCTTGTAGAGATCGATTGTACAAACTCGAAATAGCAGATAGATTGGTGAAGTAGGCAAGGCTGCCACCATCGGCAATCTCAATGTCAAACTCTGTGTGGTCTATGTTCGATAACATGAAAAGTACACTAACAAGATGAATATCATTGCGGTTTAGAACGAATAAATGAATGAGAAACCAAGTGTTTGTCGCCGACACCTCAAACTGATTTGGCTGGAGATTTCTTCACCTTATTAATGGTTTTGCTTCATCATGTAGTTTGTTGTCAACACTTACAAGATCATACTTTAATTAAGAATGGGTGTAGGGTTAGGCCCCACACCCATAAAACACGCATATTCTTTGTTTTTCAACACAAAGATGCTTTATCCAACAAAGTTTGGAAATACATAAAAACGTATGCCATCGGACACCTGCCTGCCACGTGAGGAAATGGAAGCTGCAATTCTTTACTTCGTTCAAGGGTTTTGGGTCCTTGGGTTGTAAGCCCACTTACATCTGGATTCAATCAGATAATGAATTGCGATTCACACACAGCCCAAACAATCTACCCAACCATTCACATTCTTATTTTTCAGAATAATTACATCTTTCAACGATAGTCGCAATTATTTAAATACTCACTTCATTTAGTAATAACTAAAGGATGTAATTTATCAATTTTTTAATCCATCTATAATATTTTTTTTGAACTACTTTTATCTTTTCATTTACAACTATCAAAACATTATATATTTCTTCAAAATGTTCTAACATTGTGTGTGTGGAAAACGTATGTTAGAGGCAATGGCCACTCCAGAAATCACACCAAATTTTACCGCATCAGCATCACTTCAAAATTTCACAAATGCATGATAAACAATAATTAACTCTTGAATATGTATGAACTAATTGAGTGGCCTTAATAGTTGAAGAGAATGCTATTCTCGCCCTATACTATATTTTTAAAGAGTCTCGAACATGTGTCCATGCAAATGAGAAACATTCAGATGGAAGTACTTGACAATATAATTAATTAATCACTACTGAACCCTTTAACCAAATAGAACACTCTCTGCACACCATGAAGCCTTAAGTGCTCCTTGACTAGTAATCATAGTAATGCCCATTTGGAAGGGACATAAAAGGATTAAGCAAAATAGGCATTCATGAAAATGTCAAAATAATTGGAGCAAAGCATCATTAATATTATCCCAAAGGACAAAACTCGTTTAAATTACACACTTATAAAAATACTAACAAATTATTTAAACCACCGACCACTGTTACACAGCTTACATTTCCAATGCCCCTGAGAATCATGAACCCATCCCGGAATCCAAGCCACTCACTGTAACTGTAAACTTGCCTTGGCCATTCATACAAGTACAGCTGATCAGCTGTAAATGCATTTGTTCTTTAGTGAGATAGCCTTATTCATCTGCTTGGGGTCCATGGTGACCCAACACTGGATCCTCTTATAGAACTTGGGTTTCACCAGCCTGCCCAAAACATAAGCCCTGGAACGAACCATGAAGTTAAGTGTCAATGGCACCGGTTGAGTCGGTGCACCATTGAGACTAGCCAAGTTAGCCCCTCCTCCATACAAGGGAATATGACTCCCTTTCATCGTCACAATCAATGATCTTTGGCTCTTTCTGGATTGATAAAACTTGCGTATCTGCAAAATAATAGAATAATGATTTTGCTTAGGACGAATAAATAAATGAACCCCCATTATGAAAGAAGACAAAGTGCATAAAACATTTAATATTTGTTTGATGGGGACACTGCTTATTTACCGATCCGGTGGCCACGGTGAGCTGAGAGTAAGAGAGATCTAAGGGTGTTGATGTTACATGGACCCCAAAAAACGTAGCTGTGTTTCGATATGTGAGCTTCAATGTGCAGTTCATCGATATCATTTCTGTGCTCACTCCGGAGAAATCCGCACCCGCTTGAACCCTGAATTCGTTGAACCAAATGCTCTACAAAGCATAAACCAATCATTTTTTTCATGATTTCGTAATCTGAGCTTAACGGAGTGAAAATGAAAAAGATAAAGAGAATGCATGTTAAATCTAGTTCTATGTCTAACCTTCATGGTGATTTTAGGTTTTTGGGGTTTACTAGCTCCCCAAAGGATCAAAGAAAACGTGGTGAAGAGAACGAAGAAGCCGACGATGAATGCGAGGAAATAGCAACGTCGACGATGGAGGCCGTTATAGTCACCTTCACCGTCGAGCAAGCCTTCCTCTTCGATGGCGTCGAACTCTTTCCACGGCTGCTTGTTGTTGCGGCCCTTGCGAGATCCGTCGTGTTTTCGATGCGGTTTGAGCGATCCAGACAGGCGCGTGGAAGATGACTCGCGCGAGGAATGAGGGCCTAAGGAGGAGTTGGAGTGGGAGTGAGGTGGTGAGCCCATGGGGCTGAGCACCGGCGTCGAGTTGAACGAGTTGGTAGTCTTTTCACCATCGTGTGAGTCCCTTGATGGACTCTGAACATAGTACATTTGTCGACGAGGGGACCTTGCTGGTGACGATTGACTCACGCTACTCACCTCGGAGTCTGTCTTGGAGAGATGAGCCGACATTTTCCTACCTTACTTTTTCCTGTTGTTTTAGCTGAAGAATAGAAAGTAAAGAAGAAGAAGAAGAAGTTTACTTGTAAGATCTCTGAAAACGTAGATTTATGTCAAGACTGAGCACGTTGCAATTGTGTTTTGTTTATTGGCATCCAAGTCATTGTTTGTGGAAGTAATTAATGAGAGAAGATGGAGGGGCTTGGCAGAGGGACAGCAATGGCAGTTGTCTCCAGTTATATTCCTTTTTTCTTTTTTAATTTTTGCATGTATTTGTCAACTTTAACTATTTTTACACAAACTATATAGTGTCAGCGTCGGATTTGCTGCCTTCATTTTTATATGATATCAGTAAAAGGAACTCTTAAACATGAGTGAATTAAGATATAAGAAACTGCACTGAATTCCAGGGACAAGATCAACCCTTCAAGGATATGGCATTCTAATGTGCTAAATCAAGCCTTAAACGAGATAAATCAGCAACAATATCGGTACAATTTAACCAATACTTAGTCAACATATTAAATGATATGGAAAATCATTCATTAATTGAAGAAAAATATGTTGAGTTGTTAGTGATAGTGAGATGGTCCCTTGAGAGACGCTTATCATGTGCTTGTTACAGTAAATTAGGTTGACTTAAGGGCGCTAATAGATGCACCTTTCCTAAGTTTTAGTTAACGAACTCTCTTTACTTTTGTCAAAAAAAGGCTTCGGATTTTTCGCCTGGCGTGTTAAACTTTGTATTCTGTGTATTGGACCACGGTGCATGGACTCTGCGGATCTTATGCCTGAGGTCAGGAAACTACTCGTATTGACACATAAGCTTCAGTATTTCTCCAGCTAGAAATAATGTGAAAAGTACATAATAGAGCAAAGATTAGAGGATGATTCTGGTGGCCAATGTTGGATCTATGACCACATGCTTATGTTTAACTTGAGTACTAAAATCGGAAGATCTAAAGGACCCAAATGATCAATAAAATTCGCATTGACCTTAACCATTTCCTTCGTCAGTTTTGGCCCCATTTAGATTATGTTTATAGCTCTGTTTTGGCACTTAATTTTTCTTTCTATTAGAACGACATGCACCTCGAAAGTTGAAACCAATAATCGAATCCAACCGTGTAATATAATTTGTTTTTCCATGTCCTGTATCTGATAACGTATTTGTCCATGGATTTGGTTGAGGCTTATCAATTCATTATTCACTAAATAGTAAACCATTTCAAAAATTTATAATTAAACTGAAACAAAAACGTTTTTTATTATTAAGCAGAAACTCAAGTTGGGGTAGGATCCAATTTGTAAATATATTGTCCAAGATTTGGTTCATACAGGCCGGGAGAATAATTAGATCTTTAGGCGAGTCTACTTGAAAAGAAGATAAAATAACCATATCTAACAAATAAAAGGCAAATATACCAGGGAGGAAAAAAAAACGAAATCTACATTACAAAATGGCAAAACCCAGATTTGTGCCATTAGTTTCGTGTCCTGAGAGGAAGAAACCTTCTATAGCTGTAAGCCGTGTTTGTGTTGCATGCAAGATATACACATGATCCATTGGGACATCAGAAAAGGCAATGTTTTATTTATTTAAGCATTGCAAAAAATGAAGGATTTTAAAGCCCAATGAGAAGACAATAATGTGGTGTATGAAGACTAAATTAAAGAAGCTCTTCCAACTCCATTGGAATCATTACTTTGTACCTGCTATTGGTAAGCTATTCCATGTTGATATATCTCGGATCTCAATGCAGCTCGCCCACAGGCGCCTCGTTGAGCCATAGGAAATGGATGAAATCATACAGTTTTGCACTTACACTCACCTGGTTAGTGATAAGAAGATGCTTTAAACTAGTGATAAGTTTGAGTAGGAAAAGGATATTTTCATGAAGTTAGTCTTGCCATACCTTGTATGGTGTTAGGTTTAATCTCCTGATGTGATCAGGCCTCATTTGCTCAAGCTGTTTGATGCAGTGATCTCTAATGTCCTTGAGAGCCGGTAACTCTTCTCTCTTTACCTTCAAGAGCCAAAAATAAAGAGGGGGGGGGGAAATTGTTTCAGAAAATGGGAATAAACAAATTGCTCCGGAGCTTCTTTTCTGCTCAATAGTTGGTCACAACTAAATACGGGGACTCAAACTGATCTGGTATTTGATGTTGAGTTGGCAGGGGAACATGGAATAATGTTTCTCTAATGGTTTCTTCATGTTCTATATACAATACTAAATCAATTTAAAGCAGGACACTCACGAGAGAAAAGAAATGTAAAATAAGGTTTGATAAGATTATCCATTCTGCCCTTCTGAGCTCCTACCTGATTTCCCAGGTCAATAACACTTCAGAAGCTCCTCTACACGCTTTGGCACCACATATGCTCTTTTGGATTCACTAAAAGGGTGACGACATAGAATTCGTTCCCCAACCTGTAAAATTGAAGAGCATAAAAATCAGGTCACTCAACCTCATCATTGTAGCATGAGCATCAACGGAGTAAAGTACATATACTGGTAGGGTGTGGTGCATACAGCTATTAGTAGTTGGTGACATAACAGAGGGATATAATAATCCAAGCTAAAAAAATTACTATGAATAAAGCTGAACAAGCTGCTTTAATGAGGATTTAAGTCTCCAAAAAGTGGATTCTATCACTACAAAGGAGAATATCATCGTACTTAATTAGTTTTATATCAAGGTAGAAACATTCATGTTGGGATGTGGGTAACTAATAAGATCATAAATTAAATACTTTCTCAATTTTGGGCCGGCATACTAAGAGTTTTAATATATAGATCATAATGCAGACATGTTAAGCATGTATTTAAGTTGAAAAGATATAATATCTTTCTACATTGAATTCTCAGGTTAAAGGTCAAAATTACACCTAAAATAACTGGCTGCAACTATGTTCACATGCCCTACACTACACATATTATAGTACTGAAGAGAAAATTAAGGATGAGAATAAGAAAAGATGGGACTGTTGGTAACTAACTAATCACTGAAAAGCTTTGGAGACTATACAACTGGAGTTAATAGCTTTGGACATGGTTCATTTTCCAGTCATGATGTCCACCAGGGAGTATCCATCCTTGCCATGCAATTATCTGTAGCATCGTTTTTGCATGGTACAGAGACCTACCATTTAAGAAATAAATGAAAAGAATAGAGAAAGAGGTGTTTTATCATATGAAAGAGAGCATGTTGTTAAAATTTCTGGACAGCCCAGTCAAACCTTAGACACATCCTCTGAAAGCTTGATCCGTGGCTGATTATGATCTTAACAAGTTTGAAACACAACCCAAAGCTGCTTGCGCATAGCAAGTTACCAAATAAGTTCCTATTCCAAAACAATCCACCCTAAAGTGAAAAAGTGTGATTGAGGCTAAGTAGATGACGCCAGACAGAATAGTGATTATCCTGTAGGCTAGTTCCGACAGACGATTCACAAGAGAAAATTCGCCCAAAAACCAGAGAAAAAAGTCTCTAGGGTTAATAAAATATTATAAAATCAAACAATGCAAAAAAGCAGTCCACAAGCCGGACTGTTATAGCAAAAAAATCGTCTTTATTCGAATTTTGCCAAAAATAGCAAAATCCCGAAAGCACTCTAAATTGAAATTCGAAATAAATAAGCAATCTCCCAAAAATCCGGCCTAAATCGGATTTAAATTGACTTCCTAATTAACAATCGAATATTACCATAAATAGTAAAAAATAACTAAATCTAGTGATTCGGAGGGGAAAACGGCAGAATTTGATGTTGAAAAAAGGCCACATGGAGCGTAGCTCATGTGGAGAGCGTGCGCGTCGAAAAGAGCTTTCCGGATTGGGGTCTTTTGCGCGATTATGACACCTGTAGCCAAAGTTATGGCCAAAAGACTGAAACATACTCAAAACGACCCCAATGAGGAACATGTCACAATCAATTCCGCCTTTACGCTGATCTGCCAACTCATGGTATCTCAGCGCCATCAACGTGCAATCTGACAGCTCAGCATCATCTGTCTCGGATCCCACTGCATCAGTCACCCCGGGTTGGAAAGAACTCATCCTCGAGTTCAGAGTAGTGTCATCAGGATCCACAAAACAATGACTCAGGTGCTTCACATTAAAGACATCAGAAGTCTTCAAGTGACTGGGAAGTCGTAACCTGTAAGCATTATCATTGATCTTCTGCACGACCTCACAAGGTCCAATCTTCCGATCCTTAAGCTTATATACTCACCAACAGGAAAACGATCACGAGTTAATACAGCCCAAACAAAATCACCAACATCAAAAAGTACCTGACGACGATGATTGTCGACCCGAGTCTTGTACTGGTATTGCTCTCATGAATGGTCTATTTCACCTGCTCATGGATACCCTGAAGATACTTTGCCATCTCATCTGCTTTAGGACTGAAACGTCCTATACGTGGAATAGGGGCTAAGTCCAACACCCCGGATGGGTTCTGACCATAGACAATCTCAAATGGGCTTAAACCTGTGGTTCTGTTTTTTGATCTGTTGTAGGCAAATTCTGCCTGAGGCAATGCCAATCCCACTGCTTCAGCTTCGTTCCTGCCAAAACCTTAAAAGGTTTCCCAAACTTCGGTTCACCACCTCAGTCTGGCCATCCGTCTGGGGGTGGTAAGCGCTACTGAAATTCAACTGCGTTCCCAGTTTCCCCCACAGGCTCTTCCAGAAATGACTGATGAACTTAGTATCACGATCTGAAGTGATGGATCGAGGAACACCATGTAAACGCACAATCTCCTTGAAATAGATGGGCAATCCGGTCAGCATCCATAGTCTTTCTGCAAGCTACAAAATGAGCCATCTTGGAAAATCTGTCAACCACAACAAAGATAGAATCAGAGGCCCTTTGGGTGCGGGGTAAGCCTAGTACAAATCCATGCTGACATCGAACCAATGAGCTTCAGGAACATGTAAGGGAGTGTACAATCCCGCATTGGTGAGAACTCCCTTATACCGCTGGCACACAAACAACGGTCCACATAATGGGCCACATCACTAGTCAACTTGGGCCAATAAAATTCAGAAGAGATAAGGGCCAATGTCTTATCTCGGCCAAAGTGTCCCTCATTATGGAGTTCACTTATAATTTGCTACCTCAATGAACAATCTGGAATGCACAATTGTAATCCACGAAACAGATACCCATTATGCAAAAAAAATCATGACGGTGACCCTCATTACCTCTGAAATATCCTTCCAAAGGAAGGATCAGCTGCATACATATGTGAACGTCTCAAATCCTGCAACTTTAGTACTCATGGTGGTGAGAAGTAAGGTACGACGCTCAGGGCATCTGCGACGCGTTCAACTCCCTGCTTGGTGCCTCAGCGTAAAAGTGAATTCTTGCAAGTATGCTACCCACTTGGCATGACATCTACTCAGCTTGTGTTGGCCATTGATGTACTTCAAGGCCTCATGATCGGTAACAGAATAAACTCCTTCTGTACTAGGTAGTGACGCCAATGCTTCAGGACTGACAATGCAGAACCAGATCATAAGTGGAATAATTTTTCTTTGATCCCGATAGCTTCTCACTGAAAAAAGCAACGGACGACCTGCCTGACTCAGAACACCACCAATGCCAACGCCAGATGCATCACAATTTACCTCGAACACTTGTCAAAAAAAAAAATGGAAGTGCCAAAACTGGAGCCTCGATCATCTTCTGCTTGACCAATTGAACGGGCCTCTGCCTCCTCAGACCACTGGAAATCACGCCCCTTGAGGCACTATGTGATAGGGGCGATCAGAGTACTGAAATTTCTAATGAATCGACGGTAAAAAGACGCCAAGCCATGGAACTTGGATGTCATGTAAGGTTCTTGGTCTGGGCCACTCCAAGACTGCATCTATCTTTGACTGATCTGCATGAACACCATCAGTAGACACAACAAACCAAGAAAAGTCACAGAAGTAGTGAAGAAAGACACTTCTTTTGATTGACAAACAAGCACTCTGTTTTCAGCATCTCAAAAACAGCACGGAGGTGATCGAGTGTGAAGTCCATGTCGAACTATAAACGAGGATATCATCGAAGTAAACTACAACAAATTCCCCATAAAAGGCCGCAAGACCTGATGCATAAATCTCATGAATGTACTGGGCGCATTGGATAACCCAAAAGGCATGACCATCTACTCATACAACCTTGTGGCGTTTTAAATGCCATCTTCCACTCATCTCCAGGCCTTATTCTGATTTGGTGGTAACCGCTCTTAAGTCAATTTTTGAGAAGATCTTAGAACCAGATAGCTGATCCAACATATCATCTAGACGAGGAATTGGAAACCGGTACTTCACTGTAATTCTGTGATCGCTCGGGTCAACACACATACGCCAAGAACCATCTTTCTTTGGCACTAACAGAGCAGGGACTGCACATGGGCTCATACTCTCTCGGATATAGCCCCTCCAACAACTCTTCCACCTGTCGCTGCAACTCTTCGGCCTCCTTGGGACTGAGGCGATATGCTGGTCGATTTGGCAAACTTGACCCAGGAACAAGGTCAATTTGATGCTGAATATCCCTCATAGGTGGTAGTCCAGGAGGAAGATCCTCTGGCATCAAGTTAGAGAATTCTGCTAGCAGCCATTGCACTCTACTGATAAATCTGTATCCACGTCTACTGCATTGTTCTCGCAAGGTAGCAAGGCATAGACCACGCCGCCATGCTCAATCTCATCTAAAAACTTGGACATAGAAAGCAAATTAGTATTATGGGTTACTGGGGTAGAGTAAGTCCTTCCCGCCGGGGTGCCAACACAATCTTTTTTCCCTTGAGCTAAGGGAATATGTATTCTTCGTCCATCATGAATGACACTGCGACATACTGCCAATGTCGACCCAACAATATATGACATGCATCCATAGACACAACATCACACCAGGCATTATCAAAATATTTTCTACCAATTGAAAAAGACACGAGGCATCGCCTATCAACTGTTATCTCACTGTCTTTATTTAGCCATGACAACTTGTATGGCTTAGGATGACGGTCCGTCTTCAACTGCAATTTCTGGACAACCTCCTCGGACACTACATTCTCACAACTGCCGCTGTCAATGATCATTTTGCAGACTTTATCTGCAACTGTGCAAGTCGTGTGGAAATATTGGTTCTCAACCAATCGCCCCCTGAATCGCCCTTGGGGGTAAGTAGACTCTTGCGAACGACCAGAGTCTCATGACCATCTCCATAAGCACATCATCAGTCTCCTCATCGTCATACACGTTCGCCAATCTCCTCAGTCTCGTCTTCCACGTTTTCCTCAATTAACAAATTTTTGCCCTTTGACTAGCAGGCTTCCTGCAATCAGTCGCCCTATGCCCTTGTTCACCACAACGAAAACATCTAATAGTAGGGTTAGAATTACCCTGCGGTGGCTGCTGAGCAGGACGGGACTCTTGAGGGCAAACTGGTCGA